TTTCGAACTAAACGCGTTTGATACACTTGTTGAGATGTGCAGCAAAATATACCCAAAGGGAAAATTTTCCAACATAACCTGGCTTTGTTTTGACGGGGGGACCAGCGAACAGTAACCAATGCCAATCATCTGATTATCACAGAAACAATAAGCTCGATGATAAATATGTGCCGTGGGTATCCAGTGTTCACAGCAGCGTTATTCCGCGCAATATAAACAAATGCTATGTGCGCGATTGAGTATAAAGTATCAAAGAAGCCGCCTTGTGGTCAGCTGCATGGTTATATTGACGATGCTGAAGGTTGATAAAGGGGCTGTGAATCCTTCATGTGAAAAGGACCTTTGAACCAGTTGTGATAGCGCGAAGACTTCTTCATCAGATCACATTATCGGGTGACGTGGAAAATTTATGTTAAAGACAGGTCCGCGATAAGGGGTAGGGTGAAGTTGCAGAAATGTGGAAGAAAAGTCGCCAAGTGAACCGTCCATGAAGATAACATGGCGAAGGGAACACTGGAAACATTCGTCAGGTCTCCTCTAGCCTCAAACAACTGAAGAGGTATAGGGTTGAAAAGGTCGCGCACTGGGACGATTGCCGTCGGCTGATTCCCAGTAATGAACCCTATCACTCTAGAACAGGCACTGAATGCAGACACTACATGATACTCGCCCGGGAGCTGGAAGGCCTCACTTTGGAGGCGGAGTCTGGAGGCGGAGTCACTGGAAAAAGGGATGTACCACTGAAGCAACTTTGCGCCTTAATCCCTTTACCGTACAACTTTCCGCCGCGAAACTGGCACAGGGTTGTCCCTGGACCGCACTACCTTCCCACATTAACCTTTTGCATTTTCATAGTTATCGCGGGCGTTCCTTTAACTACCACCACCATACTCTCTCCTTCACTGCGACCCCACCACAAGCGCACTCTAAAGTCTTGCTGATGGGGTGATGAGCAGTTCCTAACAAGTTACCAGGAGAAATTACACTCAAGCACAGTAAACTTACACAAAAAATGACCACAAACCAGCAAATTAGGTGTTTTTTAAGAACGAAAGAAGAGGTTTTTGACGTGTAGAGCAGTTTGTTTGGAAATGCTTTGAAGAAAACTTACGACATTTCGTAGGGTTCTTTACAGTTGCACTGGTTCGCTCCTTAAGCCAAAATGGGCCAATTAAGTGCAAGACGAGAGTGGAGTCCAGTAAGAGGAAGACGCAACCGTAAGCGACTGACGGGCAAGATGGAAGGCTGCCTGTAAGAGAGCTGCTCCCCTACCTGCATGTCACCTGAACATACACATTGGACATTGTGGAATGTTAGGCCATAAATCCAGCCATCACATTTCTTCGAAACGGCTCGTTTCACAAAATAAACAACCATAGACGGCGTGCCTCTTCTATGGTGCGCGGTTCCTCGATTGGAAGATTCGTAAAGTTGTTTGAGTTTTCGGCTTCAATAACTTTGAGAGGGGCATTTACAGGACGTTCTCAATGACAAATCTCGACGTTTACTGACATCTCAAAGCGTAATAGTACGGGTCCTACTCAGCGCTGTTGACTAAAAATATTGCATATGTGTTGTGAGCGGATGTTGCGAGCGGAGTTTTTTTTCAGCTTCCGGCTTTGTGCCGTGTGAAATGCGTCTAATTTCAACAAAACATGAAGTTAGTTGGATGACCAGGATGGGTGCGAGAGAATTGGGTGTTTTAACACTCTTATGTGATAGGAGCTGAGTGGTTGAGTGGCATTATTTACTGTGAGAAGCGAAAGTAATGCGTGAGGAGGCTTGCCAAAGGTAGAAAGCTACACGGTGCCAAGTATTACAGCTCCGCCTTACTTCGTCTACCTTAGAAGTGCCTTGATCGAGATAGCGAACTCGTACTGCTGGCCTTCGGTGCTCGCGTTATCGGGACTATGTTACGGATGAGCGCGCGTGAAAACCCTATTTAATCTCCAAATTTCAGTAATGTATGTCGCGCATCCTGATGTATTCCCGATGGCTCAGGATGGGCTTTTTCAGAGCGCTCACAGCAGAGCAGAAGGGATGCGCTAGTACGGGGTTGACCGTTGATTGTAGTACAGGCGCCAGATCCTGACTTTGTGCCCTTCAACATTAGATCTTCATTCCTCTGCAGCGATCTTGTGGCTTTGATCTGTACTCCTTTATTTATACATGCGCTTCTGTGCCTCAGGGTGGAGGTGGTGGGTGATAATAGTTACCAAGCGCGCGGTGGAAGGGCACATCATCGCTTGGGGATTTTAGAGTGGGTACGACCCCCACCCCCTTTTAGCTTTTCAGGAGCTTGGTACCCCCCTCATCGAGCTGTCGAGCAGGGGGAGCGGTTATATGTATAGTACACATGAAGCTGAAGTCAGGCAACCATCAACTATCGAAATGAATTGTTCTCAGCCTAAATACGACCTCCCCCTCTCCCAGCGACCAAATACGCCCCTGTTGGGGACTCCTCAACAACGAACGTGAATCTGGATTAAAGCGTTTTTAATCATCAGGTTTCGCCTGGGGGGCAACTAGCGTCATACCCTTCAGAATGGTATTGGTATTCTCATTGAATCTCGGTAGGCAAGGAGATCATATAACACTGACTGTTTCATAGACTGCTTCCCTTTCCTCTCCGAGTTTTTTTGTAGGCCATATCGGATTCAATAAGCCACTGCGATAGTAACTGAGGTGTAGTGCGTGCCACATCCCCAGAAAGAGTTTATCGACAGCGCTTTATCCTTTATCATAACTTTCGTGCTTAGCATGAACCGCAGCAAACAACTCTTGGACGTAAACTGTGAAACAGGAGCAGGAGGTGAATACGTCCCCTACTAGAGCTGGCGAGGACAGACCGTTTCACGTTTTCGATAGGGCCCTTCATTATTATATATTACGTAATTAATTAAACAGTGATGATGAATCATTCACTGAATAATCGCAAACCAATGCAAAGAGAAATGTAGGCGTAATGCCAAAATTTCATGCCTCGAAACCTCTGATTGGAGAAGGACAGATTCTCAAGATGCTCGCAATTTCTCGGCCGAGCCCTGTAGCCAAGCCCACCTAGTTGCCCCGCTGGACACCACTCCGCGCCGGAAGGTTATCTTCCCATCATTCCTTCTTACCCTCCACCGCACGGACCCTATGATCCACAAATAATTATCTAAGGTGAAGCCTTTCGCCAGAGATAGCGTGTGTGGACTGCCAGCAAATCAATGTATACGTTCCCACGTCAAAAAAGCGAAAGTAGCGGCGGTTAGTCATAGAGTCGCACATGTAACTCCGTTCGCGTAATAAATAGATGATTTCTTATCTGCTGTCTTCTTCGTTCGCATGTTCTCTTGCTTCTTTGTCTCGCCCCTCCCCCGATATCCTCACTGATTCTTTTGTCTCTCGCTCACAAGTAGGGCCTTATTCGCACAGAGGAAAGACAGACTTATGTAGTTGCGAATCTAACACATGCTAACAACATGCTACTTCAGTAATTTATATATCCGGTAATAGCATTTAGACAAACTTTCAACAATCAACAACTCACGTTTCATAAGAAACGTAATAACAAGGTAACAAGTCAGAAGGAACGTTATCACTAAGGCGCTCAGTTTTTGGTGATTCTGTGGGCCAAAAGGAGCACTTGAATGTGCAGCTACGCTTTTTTTAGCCCATAGGTTGAAAAGTTACGAACAACATTCAACAAAATAAACAGCAGAACACTTCACGCCCGCAGTTCGGATTAGTAGGGCATTTCGTTTGTACCCATCGATCACTACTGATGTCTCTTGTGTAGACCTGTGAATTCCTATAAAGCTATGCAGTAGCATGAGCTTCGCTCAACTTGACAAGAGTCTACAAGTCCTACCAGGATGGGACGCCTAACTCAACAGAAACTAGCGAAGGCGTGGAATGCCCTCCCCCTCCCCTCCGCAGGCCGAACACTACCCAAGATTCTATAAAATCTGTATGAACATACATCAATCTAGACAATGACTGTATGTACATTTAACACAAAGGCGAAAAAAAATCAGAAACAAACGATCCAGCTGAATCTACGTCCCTGCACAAACACTTATCAGACTGGATTCTCTGACCATTCTTCTGCCTTTAACAATTTTTGCTCTACGGTTGACTTCCTCCTACTCCGCCTTCCTTTTCCTTCTTTTCATCTTCTTCGCATCTCGCAGGTTTTCACATTCACCTGAAGGATTGCGTAATAAAAGGGGCCGGAGACTCGATCAAGATACATTTTCAGCGGTGAATCATGCGCGAGAAGACATCTTCAAGATGAAAGAGAGTCCTGCAGCACCTCCCAGGGCGAAGCACCCTTTCACCTGTGACCCTGACGCGTTGCCGCCTTCCACGCAGATTATGTCTTCCCACTCTGAATTCATCGCTGAATGAACCCTTGAACGCTTCCTTACATCGACACTCCATTTCTTTCTTAACAACGGTGGCATCCTCCTCATTTACCGTTTCGGGACCACTTTCCTGCGATGCACCGTTCTTTTTAGAGCCATCATTCTTCTGAAATATCATTATCAAACTAGCTATAGCAGGAGAAAATGAACATTTAATTCTATTTTGCCTTACAAATACTTCACAGAAAAAAAAACTTGACAAGCAAGAAATACAGGCCGAAGCAAAAAAATAACCACCGACCTCTTCAACATCAGTGGCGGCGTCCTGAAGCAACTGAGTCCATCTTACTAGGAACTCGTCCAATTCTGGCCCTTCGAACAGCTTAAGCCCTGTCTGAAACATAATATTTGTATTTGACACGAAAGAAACAGAATCTGGCGCTGTTCGACCTAAAGAGAGAGGATGGTTAGCACTTTCATCTTCGCTGGTTCCTTTTGCAAGTTCATGTTAAGTGATAAACCCCTGGCTCTGCGGTGGGCTCTTGTGAAACAGCAAAACGGTAAAAGTGAGCCTATTTGGTTAAGTAATTGGCAGAACTTTACAAGGTGGCCTACCAAATCCTTCACTGAGTACTACTCGTTGCCCCACAAAGCCGAACAGAGCGTCTAGAGCCTTGCAAAAGTGTGATTCAAAAAAGGTAAAGGAATTCACCGAAGAGCTCCTCAGTTTTGCATTTAATTCAGCAAGGGATAATACAGGAAGGCAGAACGTGGGTCAGAGAAAGAGGAGAAACTCAAAACTATCGGCGCCGGTCAAAGCTGTGAATGATATTGATCCTTATTTCCTCCGCCGACGACAACAACTAGACAAGATTTCAACTTAGGGCCGTGTCATGAAGAATAGGTAGGGCAGCAAGATTAGAGAACAGGTGGCACGCTGAGGAAGAAATAGTAAGCAATCAAATCTGACGACTTGGGAGAAGGAATGGAGACCGGTCTCGACTCTGCTCCAATTACCCATACTTTCCCGCATTCTCTCAATCTGCTAACCTCTTGGATAACAGAGTTTGAATGTGGCCTGATTTCCACCGCAAATGGACACGGGGTATTCACAGCAAAGGGGGTCGTATTTGCTTGGAAAAAATGTTATCGCTCCCTGATTTTTGTAGAGTTTTCTCCAGTGCTATGTGCCCCTTCCGCTCGACGATAGTTTTTCGAGGGAAACCTGGAGAATTCTGGTAATACAACTCCGGAAAAGTTTAAAGAAAATAAAAGACGATGTCGGGAAGATGGTAGGTAGGAAGAAGGATGGGAAGCGGGCCCTACGAGGAGAAATCTTGAAGAGGGTATATCTGTAGGAGTTCCCAATCTTGAACGGTAGAACGTGCTATCATCAGAAGAATCTTTGCAGATGACAATGACGCTGATGAACAACGTGGATTTGGCGGGTGCATATGTTTAGCGACCCCATGTCACATATAAAATCACTGCTCCACGACAAACACCATCCTTTTCCATGACTGGCGTTCCTGATGCGCAAAACCAGCGAATTTAGAGTCAGGATTGGGCCGCTCCATTTCCTTCCGGTATAAAGCACAGTAGAAGTCAGATCTGTACAAATAGACATGAAAAACTGAGTAAAAATTCTTAGGAAGCATGAATTCTGGGAGCCTCCTTATGTCAGCTAACAAAAAAAAGTGAGACCAAAACACCCAGGCCGCTTTTATTTCTGCATCTTGGGTCAGGAAAGGAGGTATGTAAGATTAGAGAATCCGGTTGCAGCGACGCCAACGTTCACGTCGCGAGCGGACGTTCGGCACCACAGTTTCATTCATAGCGGACATGAACCAGTAATGTAGACATCGAACTGACTAGGAAATAATATCTAATTGATGGCGTAGCCAGCAGCATAAGATTCGCCACAATTCCCTCACAATTAATAAGTATGTCGTCTTATAAAAAGCAAAAATAAGGCTAACAAACTCGAAAAGCGCATGACATAGATACTTATTCCGCCACAATTTTTTTCCGCGTTTTTCTTGCCTCAACACAATCTAGACAAATATTACAAGTTATACCACATACTGGCATTTATAACTAGTGTTCACAATTTTTTCCATAAATTTAGCACACATACACTCATTGACGTGCTTTTATTCAATATAACCTGACCCGGCGTCCGGCAGACTCCGTAGCTTGCTTATTTTGGATTTATCGGAAATTTCGCAATAATAATAATAATAATAATAATAATAATAATAATAATAATAATAATAATAATAATAATAATAATAATAATAATAATAACGGCGCTATTTATATGATACCTGTTGGGTTTGCTGTTGATCAGTTCCATTATTCTTTCTCTTAATCGCTCAGCACTTAGTTTTCCCTCATCAAAAAGCTCGTTGAGATACTCCATGAACAATATTTTGATCTTTGAAGCAACGCGCTGGCGTTCGCATACTTCAGCGCATCTTGGAAAGTCTAAAAGAGGTTTCACTAGAAAAAATTGAGGAAAAGTATAGTAAAAAACCTCGAAATTAGTTCTTCATGTCAACAACCCCAACAATAACGACAAACAATAACGTTAACAAGAAGTGAAGTGCTCTTCATAAGGGATTCCCGCACACTTCTCCTGAACGTGGCAGCGGACAGTCATGTTTTCTTTGTCAGCTTAAGACAAAGGCACTTGTTCCAGATGGAAATAACCAAGGAAAACGCATCCTACTCTGTGCTCAAATGAAGTATGCAGCCACGCCCACCCCATCTCCAGGATATGGAGTGTAAGAGCTATATTAACAGAGGTAATAGCCAGGAAATCTGGCTTCATTGAATAGCAACTTTTCGCACACCAGGATTTCTGCCACAAAAAAATGAGGGGAAGAACGCAACGACAGCTTAAATCAGTCCTTTTCATCACAACAGTCTAACGCTTACCTCCGCGCCCTGTCGTCTACACACTGTCGACCCCCTGCGAACTGTGATCTTAATTGATCACTTTTTTCAGGCAATAATAGCCTCATAAAGGTCCTCTCCCCTTGAGCAAGATCATATCGGCGCTCGTCACCTTCTTTCATTACTTTCAGAACTCTGGCACCCCTCAGCTATCTGCATCAGAGGACACGATTTGGTGATCCCACCAAGGGAGGGGCGTCAATATCTGGTCGGCGCGGAGGAAGGGACAGTCGAAGGCAGCTTTGACAAAAATGCTCTCGCATTGCACTTGCGCTTTATACACTCCTCCCTTCTCTCCACTTAACGGCACTCGCTTGGAAAAGTGGAGAACATTTTGAAAAAAAAAACAAAAATCCGAAAAGTAGAATCTGAGGTAAGATGGTTAGGAGGCGTGCATAAGAAGGAGGATCGTACAGCTGAGAAGGAACTTTTGAGAGGGGCGGAGGGCGTATCCAGATCTCCCCTCCCCCCCCCCCCTTTCCCTAAAAAGTGAGTCAGCAGGCATACCGTTTCGTTACAGGACCATTCACAAGAGTTCCAGTGTTCTCATAATCAAGAAAAATGACGAAAATGTAATCAGTAAAAACAGAGAAAATCGAAAAATTTGCGTAAAAGTTGAAGCTGGCAAAAGTAACCAAGAGTAAGGTAAAAGAGGTGTATAAACAAGTTCTTTCAGAACAAAACACACCTGTTCGGTCTCGTTGGGGGCGTGCATGATGCTGTAAGTCAATCGCATGTTGCCAAATCGGATAGCTCTCGTCTGGATCCACCTGAATAAGGGATTTTACATTCACAATAAACGAGCGCGCACTCTCACAAAAAAGATAACAAACAAGAAAATAAATACTTTGAGTGAATAACTACCTTCTCTAAAGCCCGACTGCACAAGGCTCTGAAATCATCTGATGACATGCTTGACTCGTCCACACACTTTTCAAGGTACACATCCCATATGGCAGCAGACTTCGGGCTTTTCTGAAACACCATATTAGAAGAAATTTCACTTGACTCTTTCTCGCCTGCAAATTCTCGTGAAGAAGGGCACACCTCGAGACATTTTGTAATGAACTCAGCATCAAATTCGTCCGGGAAATCGTGCATAATCCTCTCCATTTCTGTCCAGTCCTTGTCATTCATCCATCCACCCTCACAAAGTCCACGATACACTTCGCGGATTTTCGATTCGACAAACGCATCTAGACATTTTTCGTGAAGAATGCCAGAAAAGAGCACTGTTCAGCTTGGAGGGGGCATTTTGCACTTTAGCTAGCTCCATTTGTTAGTTCATAGTGAACTTCACCTTGGTGAGACCTGCAAACTCCTGTGATCTGTGAAATGGTACGAGTGAGCTGTTCGGTAACAGGAACTTACGGGTCTTCACAAGGTGGCCTAGCAAAGGTCAGCTGAATCCGTTCAGTGCCCCTACCAAGCCGAACTGTGCCCAATAAGTGACGTCGGCAACAAAACAAGAGAGCAAAATTAGCCAGACAATGCACTGCTCCCTTTGAGCGAATCGAAAAATACCTTTTTGCCACTGCATATATAATCGATGCATTCTTTCCGTGGATGTCTTCCTCAGCGCCTCCTCATAGAGCTCGAATTTGGACTGCAGAAAAATGCCAATGAGTCAAGGTTTCATACTTTATAGGGAGAAAATATTTCCCTACCTTTCCGCTGCGAGCGGCCAGCTCTATTTCGAATAACCGGGTGTCCTCATTATCGAATTCCTTCAGCTTATCCACAATTAAGGAGCGGATCTTCTCAATGTTAGGAACTTCTACTTTGTTGCATTCCTTCCACATCTCCATAAGCATACCTGAAAGAAGTCACACAGTGAAACAGAAAAGTTGTGAGCCTCACAGAAGCGTACGATTGAAGGGGGGGGAGCAGGAGAACAAAGAAAAAAAAAGCTCCTAAGCAGAGCGCGGGTACGGACCATGTACAAGTAAGTGTTCTTGTCCTCCAACGAATCTGGCAGCAACTTGCCGTCGGATAGGAGGCTTGGTAGGCCTGGGCGTGGTAAGCGTGTCATATGCCACTACACAATCTCCGCCCGGTGAGGAATAGAAATATAAAAATGAATCGAGGAAGGCTTATCAATCGTAAGGAACAGTCCACCTTTCCTCGAGAAGAGTTCGGACCCCAACATGATTAGTCTGAGGAACTGAGTCTTCCGCTGGAAGTGCACTGATCTTGTGATCTAGTGAGGTACGGCACTTGTTTTACCTATTGAAGGGGCGGGGATTAGTTTGTGCTAAAGGTCTCGCGGGGTTTGGTGGATACCTAATCGCGTCGCCTCGGGGCTCCATTACCGTCATTCAAGGCTCTGAGATTCTGCTGATTTGCCTCCTGAGTCAGCAGCTTGACACGTCTTGCCATTTGGGAAAAAGTCGGCAAAATACGATCTCCTTCAGGAGCTCATCCTCTGGAGCAACTCTCTGTTCTCATCATACCTAAAACCGTCCCAACTTTCTGCCACTTCCCAAAGGAATTTTTCAGGTTTTTAACCAAAAGCTGCCGTCGAGCGGGTGCACATAACGCACTTGCGAGAGGAAAAACCCGAGAAAAGCAACCGAAATAGCTTTTTTTCTCCGAGGTAAGTGAGACCACTCTTTCCTTCTAGCGACCAAAAAGGACCTCTTGTCAGGGATCCCCAATGACGTGTGCTGGTGAGGAGGCGAATCAGCCGAATAGACCGATCTCTTCAGGAATTGCAATAGACAAGTCTCTCAATAGAATGCCCAAATGTGGACAATTCCAGCTAAGCGAAAACAGCGATCAAAATAGTGACTTGTGAATAAGTTTTACTTACGGAAAACGAGGATTTGTAAAACGTAAGCAGACCAACCTGAAGCTTCAGTGGCGGGTACAGCAGCCAATGCTTGTTCCACTACTGTTTTCGCTACATCCAAATTCAGTATTCTATCATCCACTTCTTCATCGTATACCCCTACAAAGTGCATACTTAAGGAATTTGTGAATCAGAGAATCTACGGAATCGCTTACGTTCACTATCACCATCAGCCGATTCTTTGCCATGACTACCACTTTTCTCAGTTATGAATTTCCGACGTTTGAGGACCCTAAGTATGAGATCACATCAAATAATACTGCAAACTTCGGCACTGTTCCGCTTGGAGGAACTCGGCGCTGTTCGGGCTTGAAGAGGATTTGCTACTTTTGTTTCGATAATTCGGGTTCGGAGGGTGAACACGTCTGCCTTGGCCACAACCTCGGTGAAGCTGCGAAATGATGCGAGTAAGCCACTGCGGTCACAGGAATGCACAGGTTTTCTTAAGATGGCTTAGCTGACTACCCTTCGATGCCCCCTCCAAGCCGAACTGCGCACAAGCTTCTTCTAAATACCCGAAAATAAGACGTACTTATCGACGAAATTAATTTCGATGATGAAGAAAGCAACGTAGAGCATGGAACGATTGTGGTAGCAGACGTAGCGCAGTCAAATCTGCGTGCGAGCGTTTTGAGGGCTTGCGGCAGAAAAGAACTGCCACAGAGCGAAATCTCTCCGAAGTTTCTCATTTTTTCCATGTATCTGAACCAACGAGAAAGTGCATTAGCCGAAATGCTATATAAACTGGAGAAAGATGAAACTAAAATAAGATTCGGGGTATAACCCTAAAGGAATGCAATGTTTGTAAGGTGCTTTCTGGGACAAAATTCACATAACAGCCGCAGGAATTGGGACCAATTACGTTTTGCCAGTTGGTTTATGCCGGTCTATCACAGCCTTCTGTAGCTGTAGATTTACAAGACCAGCTTTCGGGTTTTATTAACAGACCTGGGAAATCCGCGAAGCGCGACAGGATTCCGGCTTCCGGAACCCGATCCTGTGGCTCAATTCCTCTCGAATCGCGGATTCTCAAAAGTGACACGTGTAATATTCTATTAGGTTGTCCGGAAAGTTCTCGGCGTTTTGTGTTACCATTTTTTGTGCATTCATTGCTGATTAAAAACTCATTCTCCCTTGCGTCTCAGTAGTACATCCTGAAGAGAATTCTTTGCGCTATCTGATGGTATAATTGCCGTTTCACCATTGCTTGATAAACCCCCTTTTCCCAAGACTTTTTGAAGCATGTCAAAAGAGCAACTTCGGACGATATTTTTCTTCGACTAAAAATTGGGTCAATCCGCAATCGAGACAGCTCAACAAATTAACCAGTGTGGGGGCCCAATAGTGCTAGAGAAAGCACCGTGCGGCAATGGTTCGACAAATTTCGTTCTGGAGATTTCAACCTTGAAGAACCTCGTAGCGGTTGACCTAAGCAATACCTGACGAGGATTCTAAGAAGGCGTTTGTGGAGGCTGACCCATCCCAAACAGTTCGAGAGATTTCAGGAAAGCTAGGCGTTGGCAAATCCAGTGTTGCAGATGGTCTGAAAACGTATGGGAGGTAAAGAACTCGACACTGGGGTGCCCACAAGTGAGTGACCGGCAGAAATTGGCACGTCTCGAGGTTTCCTCTTCACTGCTTTTGCACAACAACGAAACGACCCGTTTTTGGACCGAATTGTCACCTGTGATGAAAAGTGGATCATGTATGATAAACAGCGTTACGGACAGAGTGGACGCCGACGAAACACCGAGCAATTGTGCCAAAGCCGAATTTGTTACCAAAAAAAGGTCATGGTCACAGTGTGGTGGTCATCGGCTGGTGTGATCCACTATAACTTTTTGTCACCAGGCCAAACCATCACAGCAGAGTCCTACTGTGAAGAAATCGACGAAATGTACCGAAAATTGCGTCAGCTGCAGCCAGCACTTGTCAACAGAAAGGGTCCGATTCTTTGCATGACAACGCCCGCCCACACGTTTCACAAGTCACTATCCGCATGAATTTAACATTGGAGGTGAGAGTTCTACCTCCCCCTACCCCATATTCTCAACCTTTCACCAACCGACTATATCTCTTAAGACATTGTTCAGAAGACTTTCCTTGGCTGAAAATAGCTTCAACAATCAGGCACCAGGTGCAAAAAAGGCCTACATGGACTTCGTGGATTCTCGACCACCCAGTTTTTTTTCTTTGATGGGATTTCTCGACTGGTGTCACATTGGCAAAAGTGTGCTGATTCGAACGGTGCCTATTTCGATTAAATCCGATGAGTATTTTAAGAAAAATGCTGGCCATCGTTTCGAAATGTGAAACACATCAAAACGCTGAGAACTTTCCGGACAACCTAATAGTTCGCACATCCCCTCGGATGGAAGAACCTCCATCCGAAATTTTTACATCAAATATGACATATTCAATACACTTAAGTGTTGACATATGCATACGCGTCCATACATTGCGAATGAAGATGCGGCAATTCGGTATACTCGGCACTTTGAGGGACTGCCCACGAGACAAGTATAGGTATCGAATAGGCGATTGAGGAGATTGAGCGATAAGACCATTTGAGAGACTCGACGTTTCTAGCGATTCCGCGCCAAGCTACGAGTGAATAGTATCGGTTGAGTGCCGTCGCTAGGCGGATTGCGGGTGGTCATATGGGCAAATGTTCAGACAAGAAAGGCTAAAATAAGTTACCTGTAGGGCTCGCGTGTATGCCGCTGATAAGTCGCGACGCATCGAGTTCTCATCTAAGAAGTGTATGAGCTTCTCCCACAATCGTATGTCACCCTAAACGAACGAGCTGAGCAGAATAGGCGCATAGGAATAGAGCCATGCTTTGGGAGTGGAGCGGCCAATCGTATGAGCTCTTCATTTTAGAGCAAGTTCATACTTAGCGACCAGCTCGTGCAATCCAAACGGTCCAGTGATCCGATCCGCGAAGCATCAGGTTTTTCCGAAAAGTTTGAGAAAATTTCACTTTTAGTTTGATGAAGTAGTCATATATCAAGTGCTATGAGAAAGAGAAATGTTTCTAGATCAATCCCGGTGCTGTGGTGTTATTCTCCATAGCTGGTACGAGTTGGTATTACCCGAAAAATACGTGTACGAAAGCACACGACTCCCAACGACTTTTACTTCATCTTCACCGTTCTGGCCGCTCTACCGGTCAAATCGGGAATGAGGCACCGTGTCCGATGCTGGATAAAACACGCTTCAAAATTATCTGTAATAGGAGATCAGTCGGTCTCTTACATGGAAGTTCAGCTTGGATGTTGCGTACGCCCCCGCATTCTCGGTACTCACTTCATTCTAGCTCCTACGCAAAGTAGTCCCCCCAAAAGTTAAGGGAAAATGGACAATGTTTATTATAACTATGAATTCCTATCTCTTATTTTTGTGAATAAGTGTTAAGCCAGCTAGTTGAAATTTCTCAAAACATTCAGGACACCCTAGTATGAACGCGCTCTCACCAGTGCAGTGACCCCTCCTTTCCCACAAACCAGGCTTAGAAGACGGCGAACAATCAATGTCACCGCTTGGCGCCCTAAAACTACATGAGCGCCCAAAATACCATTAACTTAAACCTTGACTGCTGCTACAAACGAAGTTATTCGGCGAATTTACATTTAATTTACAATTTTTTATACCTGGAAACGATCAGCTGCACGTCTGTATATGCTGGCAACTTTCTTTCGCATAGGTACATCGATCAGTTTCTTTTTCTCCCAAAATTGCATTTTCACTCTTCTAGCCTTCAGTAGAGTCAAAAAGTCGCAAAGATAATCGGCATAGAGATTGAAATCACGAGGAGTTTTTTCCTATAACAAAATGTAAATAAAAGCAAGCTTCATCGCGAGCCAAATAGAAAACAACTGCAAAAACAGGCATCCAATATTCAGAAAGTCAAACTTACATGTTTATTCAGTCTGTATTCAAATTGCCGACATCGCTTTATGAAAGCGTTGACCTCAGACTCAGTGAAAAGCTGGACGTAACTGAGTTGCTCAAAAGTTGGCAGCAAACTTTCGAGACTATGCTCCACAAATTCACCCATTCGTCACTTTATACTTTTCGAAAAAAGCTGAAATATGCTTTGAAATGCGTCAGCAATCATCTTTCGTGAAACCACAATGAAACATTTTTGAACATCCCAAGGACGAAAATTAACAAGGCAAGAAACGACTGAAAACATCCAGTAAGTAGCAGAACTCCCAATTTCTGCGCGTGAGAAATTGACCTTGGTTGATGGGGCTTCACAGAGGCTACCAAAACACAGCTTACAGAAGAAAATAAGGGAAAAACAACGGTGAAACTTCAGAAGATGTTCGAACGTTCCGTGCTGCACGTCTAAAGAGGGTGGACGGTGTATTGCGTACGGCGGGTGACTACCGTACTGCAGTATGTCCTCGTTATTAGTGAACCCTCTGGAGCAAGGCACGTCATGCGTTACGGGATTTTGGTCGAGTCCGTAAAATCCCCATCTCTTTTGAGGGGCTCGGTACGACCGCCTTAAACAATTTTTTTGTTTTTGTTTGGCTTTTCATCAGCGATGGTAGGCATTTTCCTTTTTCCGGGCATTTTTTCCGAAGTATACACGGAAGAAAACTCGAATTGTTAAGGATTTCCTTGTTTGCACCTTTCAGCCTAGAAACACCATCAACTAAAAGAAAAGAATGAAACTCGAAACCACATTCGCTTGCCGTTCAGCGGAGGGGCTCTACGGTGCCCAGTATATTGCGCTGCAACCAGGGCACGCCCCCCCCCTTGCGTTGTGATTCATTTTCCTGAAAAATTTTGATCGACCCCCTCCAAAAGGCGGTCTTGGTACGACCTATCCCCCCCCCTTGTGATGATCACAAAGATGGCGTGCCCTGGCTGCAACTAGAGCACGCTATCGCTTTGTGTGAAGCTTTGTTAATTGCGACCCACCGCCCCCCTGAAAAAGAGTCTCGGTATGCTCCCTACCCAGAAGCATGAGTTATGGATATGCGCAAATGGATACATGAATTTTCCGCGAGCACTTAGCCGGTCGCACTAGAGCGAGCCTGGATTCTTTCCAAAGTTAGGCCAGGGAACTCACGGCAGTACCTTCTTTGACTCCATACCTCCGCTGGAGTGTGGAGCTTCAAAAAGAAGGAAATCAGGCATTGTGGAGGTTAGTTTTGGTTGCTTACGAAATCTATCAAGCACCACTTTTTTTAAGAAAATTCCACTGTTGTTACGCCGTTGTGCTATTTCAGTGTCATCTACGAGTTTTCTTGCTTTGAACAGCTATAGCTTTCTTCATATGTAACCTTTTGTGAAACAGAAAAAGGAGCGGAATCCAGAAGACCTTCACTTTCTGAAGCTCCTCGTTTCTTTCCTAGGCGCGCTATTTACGAAATTTCTTGCGGTGTTTTTGTTGTGACAGTTCCGAGCTACACGAAAAAACGCTCCTCTCTGGCGCAGTAACCCTCCCAGTTCGTTTGAAGACTTTAGTTTGCTTCTAGAACAGAACTCTCCGTCAAAGTTATCAGGAAATACTTCATTCGGCGCCGGTTGGCATCACTTTTGTATCTGCGCTATGCATCCGAATTCCAGCAGAGGTGTTGGAAAGGTGTAACTTTAAGATAAGGCTTCTTCGTGTAAGCAGATGGCTCCTACGGTTCAGAGGGTCCGGGTGCATACTGTATTTGGTTTGTTCATTTATTCATGACGTCTTGGGTGGGCACCGTAATTATCACCGCCCGCTCCCCCTTCGGTGTCTTCAGGCTGCCTCTGAATCAGGTGTCTTCACAAGTGTTCTTCACAAAAAGAACCATGAATAAATCCTCAGCCATTCAACTACTGTATCCCATCTGAGACTCGCTGCTCTTCCACTTCCGAATGAAACCTGCGCTTACGACCCCTCCCCTCCCTCGCAATCAAATGATCCCCCCCCTCGCTGTAATTTACAATGGTGTGCCCTGGTTTGCGCTCACAGTTGGATCTCACTGCCCCTGAGTGGCCAGTGACTTCAGAAGAGACTACGCTAGGAAACTCCGAGCGCTCTATCCTTTGATCTTTTCTGTCCGTTGTAGGAAGTAGAGAGTTGCCCACAAAATAACGATTTATGCTTTCATCAATGTTTTATCTGTCCTGAGTTGTTCTGCATGACACAAGAATAGAATGCGT